ATTCTTTGTTTCAACAATTTGTTTCTCTGGAACACTTCGCCACCATCTCCTCAACATCTTAATACATCCCCTTCCAATAAAGCTCAGGTGTCAGCCTTCTATAGGTCTTCAGTACCCCGAAATGACCTCCATCTACATTGTCGTAGAACAACCTCTCCCCCTCAAGAGAGTACTCAGGATGGCTACTATCACCTTTACTCAAATCTTCCCTAATATTCCTCAACACCTCATTCTGCATACTTTCTTCCTTGATGGCCCCCCAATCTACCATCAGCGGTACTGAAACAGCCAACTCCTAAAGTTTTCTAACACATCTGGATAAGGCATCAGTCGCTTTATTTTTCAAACCAGACCCGTATTGGATCTCAAAATCATAGCCTAATAGTTTGGACAACCACCTCTGATGCTCGTCAGTCACCATCCTTTGCTCCAATAGGTACTTCAAGCTACTTTGATCCGTCCGGACAATAAAAAGCTACCCAATAGGTAAGAGCGTCACTTCTAAATAGTCAAAATAATAGCCATCAACTCTCTCTCATACAGCGACTTCATTGTAGCCCTGGTTGACAACACTTGACTGAAGTATATTTGTAATATCAGATCTGCTCCAGGATCGTCCGGGCCGATCTGGATCGTCACGGGACGATCAGTGCAATTTTTGTTACAGATTCTGTATAGAAGTTACAGGAATGATTTCCTATAGGGATCGTCCGGGTCGATCTGGGATCGTCCCGGGACGATCAGTGTATGGCAAAAGTCAGAGAGCAAATCGTCCTGGAAATTAATTATCGTCCTGAGAAATCGTCCCAGGCCGATTGGATTTTGTTCAGATCGTCTAGGACGATCGTGCGATCGGCCGGGCCGATCAGAGTATTTTAAAGCTGAAATCAGCTCATTTTGAAAAGAGAGAAAATCAAAAATAACTATCTAAATTCAGCTGAGGAGAGAAAAGGTCGAGGGCAATTTTGGAAAAGTTGATTTTCGGGCGACGCCGGGCCGTTTTCGTCTGACGAGACTGTTCAGGAAAGTGTTGTACGCAAGGTAAGGCACATTCCGCCTTTCTCAATTTTCAGAACGGTGAAGTTTGAATGACTTTTCTGTCCGGATTTCGTTTTTGTTAACGAATTTTGTCCGTATTTTCCAATTGGTTCAGTTTTTACCGCGTAACTTTTGGTATGTTTCTGAGGTGCCGAGTGTGCACATTTTGATTATTTTTTGGAGAATTTTGACTGGGTATTTTTTATTCCGCGGTGTTTTTTTTGGACTGCAATTTTTGACGATGTCTAAAAATGTTGTGACAGTAGAATAAAAGTCTTATATTATTGCTGTGAATGTTCTGTGGTAATTTGATAAAATTCTGATTCTGTCAATTTTGTGTAAATTCCGTATACTACCGTTACGCTACCGGATTTTCGTACGATTTCTGAAATTGTCCGGATTTGTTCTGAACTGAATTGATATGCTTGTGTGCTATGAAAAGGGAGTTATAAGGGGTCAGGATCCTGTGAGATCCTGTCTGTGTTAGAGAAAATCTGAAATGAGCTCTGAAATCTGTTTCTGAATACAAGTTCCGGATCCGATGATAAGTTCTGTTCTGGTGCTATAAGCACATCTGTTCTGGTGCCATGAGCACAAAGGGAGGCATAAGGGGCCAGAATCCGAGAGATTCTGTCAGTGTCTTGGAAGGGAGGCATAAGGGGCCAGAATCCGTTGAGATTCTGTAAGTGTCAGGGAATCTGTTCTGCCTTTTGATATGTTTTGAATTGATATGATTTCTAATTTCCGTACGATATAAATTGATCTGATCTGTATTCTGATTCTGATATATGATTCTGTTCTGTTCTGATATGACTTCTGATCTGATATGATTTACTCTGATTTCTGATTTCTGTATGTTCTGTCAGCTCTGATGTGATGTATTTCTGTTATGTCTGTTCTGTTCTGATTTGATTCATTCTGTTCTGCTCTGTTGGTTCCGTATTCTGATTTCTGTTCGAATTTCTGTCTGATGTGTTTGATTTGGACTCTGAGGATTTTGATTGGAGGTTTGTTGTCTTGCTGAGCTGTTGTAGCTCATCCTTGTTTTCTGCGTGGTTTTCAGGTTCTGGAAAAGGGAAGAAAGTCCAGGAATAGAAGTTCAGAGTCTGATTCCGTATAGGTATTTTTGTCCTTTTGATTTTTGTACAGTCATGGCTTTTCTGTTCTGTCTTTCTTTCTGTCTGAAAGTCATGAGCTGTATTTGTACATGATTCTTTTGAGGAAGAAGATAGATGATCTGTTCCGCTGTATTTTGATGTTTATAGTAGCTCTGTGTGCGTCTGTTTCTGTGTGTAATGTTTGGAAGAAAGTTATGAAACAAATTCCAAAGCCAAAGCCTGAATCATTCAGTCGTCTAAAGTTTGCGCCCGGTCACGACCTCGTGCAGAGGCCGTCCAGTCGGGTGGGTCGTGACAAGCCTTTTAGGTGGTATCAGAGCATGTTTGTAATTTGGATGTAGAACAGAGCTATGGAGATCTGGTCTTGTCGTCTGGGGTAGTTTTGATTTGTTGCATTTGTATATGTTTTGTTGATTAGTTTTCTGTTTTATGGATTATCTGTATATGATCTTCTAGACCCTGACATGACAGACTCAGAGTGCAAGTAGGGCTGCACCAGATGGTAGTACAGCCCCAGTGTTGTGCAGATACACTTTTCCAGTTTATACATTGGTTGCTCAGATGATGAGAGACACACAGTAGAGCCTTAACTGTCGATCTGAGGAATTGATAGACATCTGCAGATATTTTTGATATTGAAGCCACCGAGGTTTGAGGCGCTGTTGAGCCCAGAGCAGCTGAGGAGTGGCGAGGAGGTAGAGTAAACTTTTGACGACATGCAGTGTCCGTCAGATAGGAAATACGTTGGTTGTTTTTCTGTTGGATGGGAAGCTGACACTGGTGGTAGGCAGCAGGAGGCAAAGTTTTCAGGCAGATTGACTCTTGCTCTTGGAAGAGTTTCTGAGGCCTTCCGAGATTGGTTTGTTCCCTCAATCTTTGCCGGCAGCATGCAGAGAGTTTTCTGAGGCTGGTTCAAAGCGCGAGCAAACAGTGATGCCAGTATGAGGCAGTTTACTGCTTTAGCCCGCATATGCTTCTCAGCTGTGATACTTCTGCTGCGAAGTGCTACCGATTCTGAGGGGACTACGAGACAGTCGAGGCACCCCTGGTACCCTTTCACATTCTGATTTTTCTGAGTTTGTGGAAGAGAGCTCGTCTAATAGAGATGATCTGATGGCCTACTCAGCACGGTGGACTGCGAGTAGAAGAGGTTTGGGGGTGATCGAGCAGTAGTTCCTCTAGCAAGAGGAGAATTTATGTTCGATGCTGAACTCCGAGGAATGGACAGCAGATTTTCTGGTACTGCTACACCAGTACGACCAGCTCTGGATCTGTAGGGGCACCTGTGTGCCAGAGTTGTGGACGCACGATATTGGCCAGTGCTACAGGATGACTGGTCAGATTCAGATGTGCGCACCAGGACATCGGATAGCAGAGTTCCACAGGCTAGGTTCTGATCGACGATCCTGAAGTTTCGACCGAAGCTTGTTCTTAGGACCTGCCGGTTCAGCAGGAAGACGAGGACTGTTCCTCCACGCCCTTGAACTGAGGATTTTTTAGTAGAGGTGGTGGTTCGGAGTTTCTGTACTGGAGACCACCTACAGCTAGTCAGAGGGAGCCCAGTATTTCTGTAGCATTCATCTCAGCTCCAGTTCAGCCACGAGTGTACAGTCCTGAGTCAGCAGAGGCTCGAGATGCTCCGGACTGTGGTGACAGGTACGATTCACATTGCTGATCAACCCTGTGTAGTTTTGTTTGATTCTGGAGCCAATCATTTTCTTTTCAGCTGTTATGCCTTGCATCTGGACTCGATTTTGATTGCCGGTTTCTCTTTTGTGATTTTGCCGCGTGGAAGTAAATTGATTGCTCGAATTTTTTTTGTGAGGTTTGAGATTGCTGGCAAGAAGTGGAAATCAAGTTTAATTCTGTTTGCCATTCTTCGTAGACGTGATATTTGGGCATGGATGGCTGAGTCTGTATGCAGGCCCCAGATGCACTGTTGAAGAAGCAATGAGCTTGCTTAGCAGAGAGAGATGTGATTCCAAGGTTTTAACGATGTTCTCGCGTTGCTGATTCTGTACTGAAGTGAGGAAGAAGAAAATATGCAAAGGTTGCCAGTATTTTGGCTTCGTACGGATATGAACCCTGGAATTTGTTGTTCTGTTTCTGATATCCCAGTAGTACGGGAAGTTTGCAGATGTATTTTTTCCTGAGATTGTTTGGTTACCTCCGGATAGAAATGTGGAATTCTCTATTAATGTTTCCGTACAGCTCCGATATCAAAAGCTCCGTACAGGATGGCACCGGAAAGAACGTTCTGAGTGAAAGTTCAGCTTCAGATGTTGGGGATACGAGGATTTTGTTGTCCTAGTGTCTCTTTGGAAGCACCTTGTTGTTGTGAAGAAAAGGACGAACAATCCGTATGTATGTTGACACAGAGATTTGAATACAGTCACGATCAATAACAGTATCCCTTTGCCACGGATTGACGACTGATTGACCAGCTTCTGTTCTTCTTGTTTTTGAAGATTGATTTGAATCTATACTATCAGGTAAGGTAAAAGAAGTTTGATGTGGGAAACAGCTTTCGAGTACTCGGTATGGACCACTAAGAGTCTTGGTTATGCCTTTATGGTAACCAGCACCTGCTATTTCATGGATCGATGAACAGAGTGTTCAAGGAGTATCTGGATCAGTTCTGAATCGTCTTTCCATCGACGATATTCTGGTGTATCCTGCTTCTGAGACATGATCATGCCCGACATATGTTGAGCATAGTATTGAGATTTGAGACCGGCATCAGTGTATGCTAAGTTCTCAAAGTGTGAATTCTGGCTGAAGAGCATTTCATTTCTGGGCACGTGGTTAGCGGTAGTATTTCTGTTGTCCCCAGAAGATTCAGCGATGCGGTTGGCCAAGGCCTACTACGTATTTGAGGACGTAGTTCTTTCGCATAGCGGAATTACAGGAAGTTGTAAAAGATTTTCTCAAATTGCTCGCCTTTTGACGAGACGACTCAGAAGTCAGTGTTTATGTTGGAACAGCCAGTGAAGCTTGTTTCAGAATGAAGGATGTCTGACTTCAGCTCCAGGTATAGCACTTCCGTCAGTACGAAGGATTCAGGTATTCAGTGATGCTTTCACTGAAAGGTTTGGATGTGTGCACATCAGATGGTAGGTAATTGCTGCTCGAGATAGCTAAAACCCACATGAGAAAATTTACCCGACACATGATTTGGAACTTGGCGCAGTTGTTTTTGCTTTGAAGATTTGCGTCACTATCTGTATGCGAGTCAGATTGAGATTTTCACGGATCACAAAGTTTAAGTTCATTTTCACTCAGAAGGATCTGAATTTGAGGCAAAGAAGGTGGCTTGAGTTGATCAAGGACTACGATCTGACGATTCAGTATCAGCCTTGTAAGGCTAATGTGGTAGCATATGCTCTGAGCATGAAATCTTCTGGATTTTCAGGTATTCAGCTCACTTCTGATGATTTTCTGATTCGTGATATGGAACGTTTGCAGTTGGAGGTGATTTCCTCCAGTAGTTTGGCTTCTGGAGTTTTGACTCAGTTGAGCATTCAGTCTTCTTTGGAAGACAGGATTCAGGAAGCCCAGAAGTTAGATTTTGATTATTCGACGTTGATTGCTCAGATTGAATCTGGTAAGAAGCCTGAACTCCGAGTTTCTGATTCTGGTGCTATTTTCTGTAATAACAGATTGTGGGTACCTGTGTTCGGAGATTTGAGGCGGGAAATTCTGTATGAATCTCATCATTCAGGCTACACTGTTCATCCGGGAAGTGGCAAGATGTACGGAGATATGAAGAGTTTGTTCTGGTGGCCGGGAATGAAAAAGGATGTAGCAGATTTTGTTGCTAGATGCGAGGCCTGTCAGTTGGTGAAGGCAGAGCATCAGCGACCAGGAGGACTTTTGCAGTCGTTGCCTATCCCTGAGTGGAAGTGGGAGGAGGTAACAATGGATTTTGCTATGGGTTTTCCTCGATCAAGGCAAGGGCACGATGCCATTTGGGTGATTGTGGATCGACTGACGAAGTCTGCTCATTTTCTTCCGATCAGACAGACCGATCCGGTGGATCGATTGGCACAGGTATATGTGAAAGAGATTGTCAGATTACACGGTGTGCCTAAGATGATTGTTTCTGATCGAGATGGACGGTTTACTTCCAGACTTTGGAAAGGTATTCAGCAAGGTTTGGGTACGAAGTTGCATTTCAGTATAGCTTTTCATCTGCAGACTGACGGACAGTCTGAGAGGACTATTCAGGTACTGGAAGATCTGTTGAGGCTTTGTGTTTTGGATTTTGGAGGAAGCTGGAAAGATCACATTCCTTTGATTGAGTTTGCTTACAATAACAGTTTTCAATTCAGTATTGGAATGGCACCGTATGAAGCTTTGTATGACCGGAAGTGTAGAACTCCTTTGACTTTGACTAAGATTGAAGATAGACAGGAGATGGGTGCCACTTTTGTAAAAGAAACTGTTAAGAAAGTTGATTTGATTAAAGAAAGGTTGAAAGCTGCACAAGATCTACAGCAGAAATATTACAATCAGAAGCACAGGTTCGTTGAATTTCAAGTTGGTGACTTTGTGTATGTCAAAGTCAGTCCGATGAAGGGTGTGAGCAGATTTGGCAGAATGAGTAAGCTCAGTCCAAGGTATGTTGGACCGTATGAAATCCTTGAGAGGATTGGTAAATCTGCTTATAGACTGTTGCTATCTGATCAGATGTCCGATGTTCACAATGTGTTCCACGTATCTACTTTGAGAAAGTGGATATCTGACTCTAGAAAGAAGGTATCTGCTGATGAGGTTGAGATTCAGGAGAATTTGAGCTATCAAGAAGAACCCGAGTTGATTCTAGCTTACGATGTTCGTAAGTTGAGAAGTAAAGAGATTCCGATGGTTAAGGGGCAGTGGAAGCACCGAACTGCACGGGAAGCGACTTGGGAGAAAGAATCGGACATGAGGAAGTCGTATCGGTACTTATTTTGACTGAGTTCTGTTTGGATAATGTCGAGGACGACATTTTTCTGAAGTTGGGGAGATTGTAATATCAGATCTGCTCCAGGATCGTCCAGGCCAATCTGGATCGTCCCAGGACGATCAGTGCAATTTTTGTTCCAGATTTTGTACAAAAGTTACAGGAATGATTCCCTGTAGGGATCGTCCGGGCCGATCTGGGATCGTCCCGGGACGATCAGTGTATGGCAAAAGTCAGAGAGCAAATCGTCCTTGAAATTAATTATCGTCTTGAGAAATCGTCCCAGGCCGATTAGATTTTGTTCAGATCGTCCAGGACGATCGTGCGATCGGCCGGGCCGATCAGAGTATTTTAAAGCTGAAATCAGCTCATTTTGAAGAGAGAGAAAATCAAAAATAACTATCTAAATTCAGCTGAGGAGAGAGAAGGTCGAGGGTAATTTTGGAAAAGTTGATTTCTGGGCGACGCCGGGCCGTTTTTGTCCGACGAGACTGTTCAGGAAAGTGTTTTACGCAAGGTAAGGCACATTCCGCCTTTCTCAATTTTCAGAACGGTGAAGTTTGAACGACTTTTCTGTCCGAATTTCGTTTTTGTTAACGAATTTTGTCCGTATTTTCCGATTGGTTCAGTTTTTACCGCGTAACTTTTGGTATGTTTCTGAGGTGCCGAGTGTGCACATTTTGATTATTTTCTGGAGAATATTGACCGGGTATTTTTGATTCCGCGGTGTTTTCTTTCGACTGCAATTTTTGACGATGTATAAAAATGTTGTGACAGTAGAATAAAAGTCTTATATTATTGTTGTGAATGTTCTGTGATAATTTGGTAAAATTCTGATTCTGTCAATTTTGTGTAAATTCCGTATACTGTCGTTACGCTGCTGGATTTTCGTACGATTTCTGAAATTGTCCGGATTTGTTCTGAACTGAATTGATATGCTTGTGTGCTATGAAAAGGGAGTTATAAGGGGTCAGGATCCTGTGAGATCCTGTCTGTGTCAGGGAAAATCTGAAATGAGCTCTGAAATCTGTTTCTGAATACAAGTTCTGGATCCGATGATAAGTTCTGGATCCGATGCTATAAGCACATCTGTTCTGGTGCCATGAGCACTAGGGGTGTCAATTTCGGGTCGAATCCGAGAGATTCTGTCAGTGTCTGAGAAGGGAGGCCTATGCTTGTGTGTTATAACAAGGGAGTTATAAGGGGTCAGGATCCTGTGAGATCCTGTCTGTGTCAGGGAAAATATGAAATGAGCTCTGAAATCTGTTTCTGAATACAAGTT